ATGGCTGTTCTGCTTCTCTTCTCTTCCCTTGCTAATGCAGCAGTAGCAGCGCTAGGTTGGGTTTTAGTACTAACAGATAGCACTGGCACCCATATCTTATTTTTCAGGGGTTTTGCATTGTCTGGCTTGGGACTTTGAGGGCTCAATCCAAATTCCAAAATCCACTTCCCACAGTGGGCTTTTTGATCCCTATACCAACATGTCATGCTAAATTTTAAATGGTGGGAAATAACTGTATGCCAGAATAGTTTCCCAAGTTTCAGCACATGGAATTACAATGCAAAATTTCTGCAATTTTCCAAGTTAATGGGGTTGCAAACGGACTTTTTTTCTGGAAATAATTAAAACAGAAATGAATGCTAGCCTTTCACTAGATTCCACTAGATTTCCAGAAGTGGCTTTTACACTGTGTGAGAGTTCACATAAAACACAGAAATGCTCAGGTAAAGAGGCATCAGGAAAACAATAAAGTGCTGCAGCCTAAGTCTACAAATTATAAGAATACAACAGAATTATTCTTTTTTTAAAAAAAATACTCTTATAGAAATTGTTCATTGCATTTTAAATGAAATAACACAGTCCTATCCATTTTTCTTAAGAGCAGCAGTGTTCCAAATTGCAGCAGATTTCTGTAACAGTTTTGATACAGAATCATACCCCTGTGCTACTTTCAAAGGACATTTGTGTTTCCTGTATAGTTGACCCTCTTCCACTCAATTTCTGTAAAAGAAACAAACTTCACTGACATATTGTGAGCCCTTCCAGACAAGCTGCTTAGTGGACACTGATTTGGGATATTAGATGATGCTGGCTATTTAATGAGCATTCATTCTGATTTGTTTGCAGAAAGGCTAGATGAGACAGTGTAAACGCAAGTGTTACCCCACACTTTCATTCATTCATTCATTCATTCAACCTTTATTGGCATAATACCTCACACTTTCCACTGCCTTTTCCCTTCCATGTCACTTTCCATATCTCTAAAACTCCAGTCTTCTGAAGAAGTAGCTTTGTTGCACAAGAGCTCCAAATAAGCTTCAACTGTGCAACCTGAATTTACCAATTCGTGCTTGAATCCCACTCCAAAATAGAGAGGACCCTGGAACCAGATAGAAAGAAAATGTATTGCTCAATGGAAATCCAGAAGAGGAAATCTCAGCAAGTCCTGCTTCGTATACCATGGGGAGAAAAAGCATACCTGCCTAAATTCCTTCCTTTGCACAACTATTGGAGCCCTGTGCTCTAAAGCACAGGTGGAAAGTCTTCAGGCTTGTGGGGGACACTTTGCTTCTGTTTTTAGAACCAACTGGAGGCAGGTATAAAAAAGTGGGTGTGGGGGTCGGAGCTTGATGCATAATGGTGGCTCAGGTGGTAAAGCCAGTTCCCTTCTGCATTCCACCCATCTGGCATCAGTGGCAGACCTCGGGATATCAAATTTCCGCGGTGCCCTGTACAAAATTTGGCGTGCACATCTCTCACCTTCAATTTTACATAATAGCTGCAGCACCTCCTGCAGTGCCCCCTGAAACTCCACACCCAGTACCATCTTTGCTGGCGTCCTCTGGACTACAACTCCCAACAGCCCCAGCCAGCAGGCGGTTATGGGAGTTGCAGTGTGCAAAATTTGTAAGGCACCAAGTTAGCAATGGCTGCATTAGGATGACCTGTCTATATCATTGTAAGTGTACATCTTATCAAGTATTCTAGCAGCCTAATTTAGAAGGTGGGGGAAGGCACATTGCTCTTACAATTGGGAGTGAGAAATCCTGGCTGGCGTAATACAACTCATCCAGAGATCTACCAATTGATCCTGATCTGCTTCCTCCCCTGCTTTAAACTGCATCTGGTCATTCCTGTCTGGAGTGCTGCCTTTTGCAACTTAGTTCTCATTCGTTCCTATGGGACCTGAAAAGAGTAGAGTAATGCAGTCCGCAAAGGCTGTGCCCCTAATCTGCCAGTGCAGATGTTCCCCAGCGTCAGTTCTGTGTCAGCCACAAAAGGCCCTTAGTACAGGAATGTACTATCAGTGGGCTAGGATCCTGCCAGAGCAGCATTAACAGGCTTCTGTGTAACCGGGAATCCAGCCTGTGAGTACACTACAAAATTAAAGGTCGCCACCAGAACAAGGGCGGGGGGGGTGATAGCTCAGTCGGTAGCCAGTCAGCATACAACCAGCTAACTCCTCAAGTGTGCTTCCTTGAACAGTAAACTGCCAATTGCATGGCCTAAAGATTGGTCAATAAAATTGTTTTGTAACCCTGTTATGAAATGGCATAACTGGATCGCTATGAATGAATGGCCAAATCATCTTTCAGAAGCTCGCAGGCAGCAGAAATAGACCTCCTGAGCAAGCTGATTAAGATATAAATTTCCACTTTGGCTACTTGGGGATGACAAAGAAGCCTATAGCAGAGGGGTAGAATGGGGGGGCAGGCAACCCAAGCAACAACCTGTGGGGGGAGGGCTGGGAGGTACTAGCTGCAAACCCCTGAAACAAATAGCCAACAAACTGAAGCTCAATCCAGGTAAGACAGAGGCAGAGTTAGTGGGCGATTCCCTAGACTGGATGGATGGGAGACTGCCTGCTCTTGATGTGGTTACACTCCCTCTGAAGGTCCATAGCTTGGGGGTACTCCTGGATCCTTTGCTGTCTTTTGAAACTCAGGTGCTCCTTTAACACTGGAGAAACATTAAAATGCAAGGGAGAGCAACAGTAGGGATTCCCTGGTGAGGAGGCTGGGAGTGCTGGATCCAGAGAGACTGAAGACTTCAGAACAGATGGCGACAGGGTGAAGTGACAGAGAGCACAAACACCCCCAGACTGCAGACAAACCACAAAGTCTGCAGACTGAATAAAGATGAAAAATAGAATTAATAGAAAATAATATAGTACTGCAACAGGTACATAAAAACACATGGCAATCAGACTCAAATTATACGCAGAACAACACAGATTTAGTTTCTTTGGCATTTGAGTCTATCTGGCCCTCAGGGCTATTCTTCTCTGTCACCTCCTCAGGCCCTGTTCTGCAACTTCCTTGAGTGTCTACACCTCCCTAGAAAGCATCCTTTTGATAATGCTTCTTGCCTGCTGGGATGGAGGACCGAGAAGGATGTACAAGTGCAAAACGTGGAAGGCTGTTTAGAAGGGGAATGTGGCCCTCGGGCAAAAAAAAATCCCCACCCTCCACATGAAGATGAAGCTTGTGGCCACTGTGAAGCAGCAGCAGCAGGAGTGGGCATTGTTTAAGGCAGGGCTCTTTCAGCCTCCTTGGGACGCAGGTGGCGCTGTGGGTTAAACCACAGAGCCTAGGACTTGCCAATCAGAAGGTTGGCGGTTTGAATCCCTGTGACAGGGTGAGCTCCCGTTGCTCAGTCCCTGCTCCTGCCAACCTAGCAGTTTGAAAGCACGTCAGTGCAAGCAGATAAATAGGTACAGCTCTGGCGGGAAGGTAAACGGCATTTCAGTGTGCTGCTCTGGTTTGCCAGAAGCGGCTTAGTCATGCTGGCCACATGACCCAGAAGCTGTACGCCGGCTCCCTTGGCCAATAAAGCAAGATGAGTGCCGCAACCCCATAGTCGGTCACGACTGGACCTAATGGTCAGGGGTCCCTTTAGCTTTAAGCCTCAGCCTCTGTGAATGCTACCGCCTGATACTGTGGAAAGAGTATGATCAGCAAACCCTGATCATGGGTAATGTTCTTGCTCAGATATGAACCTTGGCCGGTTGTCTGGGGGTTAGTCATATGCCTGCGAGCGCCAGCTCTCTCTCGGCCTCACAGGGTTGCTGTGAAGATCAATGTGGCGGGCAACGAGTGCCATTCTGAGGCTCTTGGAGCAAGGTACAAAAAGCCAAGTAAGGCTGCAACCTGAGAGTAAGGCCATATCTACACCATACAGTTAAAACACATTCATACAGCTTCAACAGGCACGGCCTCTGCCAAAGAATCCTGGGAGCCGAGGTTCACCCTCACAGAATCGTAGACTTGGAAGGGACCCCAAGGTTCGTCTGGTCCTGCAATGTAGGAATCTCAACTAAACCACCCATGACAGGTGGCCATGCAGCCTCTGCTCAAAAATCTCCAAGAGAATCCACAATCTCCTGTTCGTTCCACTTTCAAACAGCTCTGTCGGGAAGTTCTTCCTGATGTTTAGTCGGAATCTCCTTTCTTGTAACATGAAGCCATGGGTTCAAGTCCTACCCTCCAGAGCAGGAGAAAAGAAGCTTGCCCCATCTTCCACATGACAGCCCTTGAGCTACCTGAAGATGGCTCTTATATCTCTTCTCAGTGTCCTTTTTTCCAGGCTAAACATACCTGGAACTCCGCCAACTGTTCCTCATAAAGCTTTGCTTCCCAGACCCTTGATCATCTTGGTTGCCCTCCTCTGCACAGAGCTACAATTCCCAGCACCCTTAACAGTTCCCAGGATTCCTTGGGGGGGGGGAGCCATGGTGTGGATTTGACCTAAGGCACCACTCAATTCAATGCACCTAACTTCTGAACAGACACATCTAGGATTCCTTCCACTAGCACCTTGGAGACCAACTAAGTTTGTTATTGGTATGAGCTTTCGTGTGCATGCACACTTCTTGCATGCACACGAAAGCTCATACCAATAACAAATGTAGTTGGTCTCCAAGGTGCTACTGGAAGGAATTTTGTTTTATTTTGTTTCGACTACGGCAGACCAACACGGCTACCTACCTGTAACTACATCTAGAATTGTAATGCAAATAGATCCCCTTCCACCCCACCGCGTGCGCCCTTGCTCAGTGCCAGGTACGGCTCAATCCTGGGATCTGTGGCGCGAACAAAAGCAGTCCAAGTGCCTTTCTCTAACCGCGAAGGCGTTTCCACCAAACGGGCTGAGGCTTCCGAGCGGAACGCTGCTCCCGAGACGCCGCTCGCCACTAGCCCAGCAGCGGCCGCCGCCGCTTCGGCTCCAGCAGCCTCCGCGCGCCCAGAGGCGGCGAGCAGGATCCGGCGTCGGCCGAGGGCGTGGCGCGCGGCTTCCCCCGCGGCCGCGCCTGCCATTGGTTTCTCCTGGCAGCGGAGGCTGGGCCAGAGGCACGGCCAGGGAGTGGGAGGGAAAGTTGCTGCCTGCGCCATGTAGTTCGCACTCGGCGGCGGAGTTTGCACGGGACTGGCTGGAGAGGGAGCCGCGCGCGCCAGGAGAGGCAGCCAGGTAAGGAGGCGCGGGGAGGGGCGGACAGCGGTGCGAGAAGGGCCCATCCTGCTGCTGCTAGGACCTCGCTGCTCGTCGCCCACCCGCGCAGGAAAAGGAGCAGAAAGAGAGACGAGTCCGGATTGGATCCAGGTCAGGTGCGATCTGTACCTGCGCCCAGAGCCGGCGCGCTTTGCTCGGTACCCGACGCGCGGCCGGACTCTGCGCATCTTTAGATTCCAAAGTGAAGCCCAACTAAATTCGATGGGATTGATGGACTCTCAAAGTGAGTCTTTGTAGGGAGAAAAGGAGGTGGAGAAGCCGCGGGAGGGGGGTTTCTTTTGTGAGTGTGGAATCTCTGCGGAATCTCGAGGTTTCCTGGCGGGAATCTGGTGGAAGGGGAGAGAGAAGTTAAGAAAAGAGCCCAGGGGCAGCGGGGACTTTCCGCTTCTGCAACAGAGGCGGGATTAAGAAAACTTGCAAGATCGCCCGGTTATACAACGTGATGGTGAAGGCGCGCTTTGAAGGGGTGGGGAGAGGGGGGGGTAGTTCTGTAGTTCCAAAAAGCTGCGCGGATTAAAACGTCACGTCTCTAAAAAGGCACAGGAGAGAAGCTTGGTCTCACGGTGTGGGTGAAGTATGTGACCTTGGAAAGTGGTGGGAAGTTTTTTTGCGGGGAGCGAGGTGGCTTAAAAACTGGACCAGAGCGAAGTCCCGTTGGGTTGGTGTTTTTCCAGCAGGGTCCAGTCAGATGCCTGGGAAAGATCGCGAGAAGGATGTAAAAAGTGGTGGCAATCCTCTCTTGTTTGCAGCCTCTAGAATTCAGACAGTTGCTGCTTTTTGCATGTGTTCTTCTTGGCTGGAAGGTGGCTCTCTCCATAGAGGAGGAGGAGACAGAAGGAACCTAAGGCGAGATTCATGGTCTGCTGATAAAAATTCTTCAGATGTGAGGTGTCCCCCTCCCAACCTATTTCACAATGTAGTAAAACCAAAGACAAGCCCAGACTGGCTTTTGCAGTCTTAAGTTCTACTTGGTTTTGTGGTTAGACGTGGATGAGTAGGGGCAAAGCTTTCGAGAAGGACTGTGTAGAGGTGGGCTGGAGAAAGGAGAAGAGAGAGTCTGCAAGCGAAACCGGCTTGGCATGCGATGCTTCCGTGACTTTCATACTTTCTCTTTGTGGCTTCTTTCAGGGGTGGCTGGATGTGAGAAGGAGCAAACGGAGGATTTTGGGGGCCCCCCGAGAGCTCCCCCACGAAACAAGACAGGAAGGAACTGCTCTGCATTGTTGGCTGGGCTCCTGCTCACACCCTGGTGCTGGTGCCACACTCTAAGTCGGTTGCGCTGAAGAGGAGGGGTTTCTTTGCTCCCACTTCTCCCAGAAGCATTGACTGTGCCGGGATTGACCTCTTGGCAGGCTTGCATTCTCCAGCTTTCCACAGCTTGCACGAAGCGGCCGAAATCGCTGTGTGAGTGCCACAAAAGAGCAGCCCCTGGCAGAGGCGGTGATGCTGGGGTGCTGTCTTTGGGGCTCTGCACCCCGCACACCAACTGGGGAGAAGAGAGGAGCCGGGTGGCTTGAACCGCTGCTGCTGCTGCTGGTGGTGGTCCTCTCCAGTTGGGTTTTGGCTCAGCAGACGGCTGACTGCCCCGGAACTTGCGACTGCTCCGAGGCAGCCAGGACAGTGAAGTGCATCAACAGGAACCTGACGGAGGTGCCTGTGGGCCTGCCCCGCTATGTGCGGAACCTCTTCCTCATGGGCAACCACATCCAGAACGTCTCGTCCGCCTCGTTCCCCCCGGAGACCCTTCTAGAACTCAGCAGCCTCAACCTGAGCAGTAATCGCCTGCAGTGGGTGGAGGCTGGGACCTTTGCTGGGCTGCCCAACTTGAAGCAGCTGGACCTCAGCAACAACTCCCTCCTCGAGCTCAGCCCCATGGCCCTGGGCAACACCAGCAGCCCCCTAGAGGAGCTGAACCTGCGCAACTCCCTCTATAACAACAGCTATGTGACCGCCGTGGCCCAGCTGCTTCAGCAAGAGGCCTTCCTGAACTTGAAGCGCCTGGACCTGTCCGAAAACACCCTGTTCTACCTGCCCCAGGGCATGTTCGCTGCGCTACACAGCCTGCAGCACCTGGACCTGCACAACAACTCCCTGGTGAGTCTGCACGGCGTGACGCTCGAGAACCTCCGTCAGCTCCAGAGCGTCAACCTCAGCGGCAATGCCCTCAAGCGCCTGAGGAACAGCACCCTCCTGCAGCTCCGGGGCCTTCCTCGACTCACCAGCCTCAACCTCACCCACAATGCCTGGGTCTGCGACTGCGGTATCGAGGACATGGTCAGCTGGCTCAAGGAGAGTGACCTGGTGGAGGCCAAGGCGTCCCTCAAGTGCTCTTACCCCAAAGGGATGGAGAACAGGTCCTTGGTGGCCATTGATTTTTCAGAGCTGAGCTGCCCAGAGCCGACCGATAACCAGACTCAGCTGCAGACCTCTTATGTCTTCCTTGGGATAGTCTTGGCCCTCATCGGTGCCATTTTCCTCCTGGTTTTGTACTTGAACCGCAAAGGGATCAAAAAGTGGATGTACAATATCAGGGACGCCTGTAGAGACCACATGGAGGGCTATCACTACAGGTATGAGATCAACGCAGATCCCCGGCTAACCAACCTCAGCTCCAATTCTGATGTCTGAAGATGCGTTGCAGGGAAGCAGGCCAAGGGGCGCAATAGCTATGCATGGAATGTAGACTTTAGCTTTACCCCCCTGAAATGTGTGTGCTTTCTGCTCCCGGCATACACCCTTCGAGGCATCGCAGACTTGACATGCGCCATACAGAGAATTATGCCTACCTGTACAAGTTGCCATTATTATTATCCACAGTCGATTGTGCATGATATCAGGTTGTATGTACGAAAACATGCTGCTGCTGCTGCTGCTGCCGCTGCCGCCGCCGCCGCCTCCCTGCCTGTTTGCTTTGCAACTTGCTACCAGCCTTTGCTTGGAAACATCTCTCTCTCTCTCTCTCTTGGCACCTAAAAAAGAAAAGGACATTTTCACTCCCCCCACCTCCACCTTCTCCCACTCTGATGTTCTCAAACCACGAGGGCTTATTAAAAAGTACGATTCAACAAAGGCTGCCTCAACTTCTTTTGGGAGAAATGTTTGATCCATCAGTACCCATGTTGCTTTTATGCATCCTGAACGGTGAAGAATCTTTGTAGTGCACATGCATGTTTAGAACATGCCTTTTTAAAAAGGGAAAAGGAAAGTTCTTTGTATAAAGAAGCACATAAAATAGTGAGCATGCAAATAGTTGACAAATTTACATGGTAGGCGGGGAGAAACTGAAAACTGCAGTACAAGTGTTTGCAATTTACATGGAAACAGGATTTTTTTAAAAGGGGGGACCCTATAAACTGCATGTGAAGAGTTTGAACTTTTAAATAATTCAATAAATGCCCTTACAGGAACTTTTGTTTTGCTGAAGTTTGCTGTTTTTAATGCTCTGATCTGGAAATGAAGCACAGTATGGAATGGACACCGTTTCTTCAGTGGGGGAAAAATTATTTCCCCATTACAAAACATGGTGGAGCCTTCATATGTTAAGATATTTGCCTGAATTCATTTTTTTTTCCCCCATTGCTGTCGTTTATCTTTCAGAGAGACTAGGAATGTACAAAGCTATACTGATTTGCACTTCTTTATTTTAAACTGCATGCAAACAACCGTCTCTTTCGATAAGCAATGTTGATTTGCATATCCTGTTCCTAGAATGTGGCAGCTGTTCAACTGCCATAACTCTGCCAGTGAGGGCTCATTAAATTGCCGCTACAATTCTGAATCTGATCCTTAGGACAGTCATTGAAATTGGGTGGGAATTGCTGCTGAACCATGCACTCCTGCAGTCTAATCCTGGGTATATTTGCTCAGAAGTTCCAGTGGGTGGATTGTTTAATGTATTAATTTCATTTGTGAATTGCTTCTCCCAAAGTATTCCAAAGTGATGCAACTATTAAAAACACCTGTAATTAAAAACATATATAGGCTAGTAGAGTTTACTCCCAGGTACTTGTCCATAATCTTACAAGTTCCATGGATTTCAGTGGGAGGGGAATTCATGCATTTGTTTAGCCCATTCCTTTTGAAATGAATTGGACTGAAAGGGGCTTATTCTTGGGTAAAGTGTTTAAAGCTTTGAGCGATAGGCTGCTGTGATAAGTACACGTACAGACACATTCCACGCATGTTTCCTTGGAAGTAAGTTCTACTGAGTACAGTGAGTACTCTTAAGTAAACAGGGTTGGAGCCTGGCTAGAAAATAAATATTGTTGTGTCTTAGTTCTCACAAACAGCAAACAAGCTGGTGGTGAATCTGCACGAACACATCAGTGCTGCTTGATTCACTCCCCTCATACAGAAAACTGGCATGTTGGCGCTGGGGTGTGTGCAAGTGTGGAGCAGCCTTTTCCCCAAAATGCCTGGGTTTTTTATGCTTAGGGTATGGAGGAGTATGCAATGCTGTGAGCCCACCGCTAGCGTTTCTCAAGTGGTGCAGTTGAGAACCCCATTTGCCACCTCCGCGCATTTGTGAGAACAAGAAGGAAGTTTCTAATTAATGCATTTAGCTTTTGCGGCTGGGCAGTCGCTTGTAATCTCAGTGTTGATCCAAAGGCAGTATTGAAGAAGCCAAGTCTATAATACAGAGACAGGTATGTGGGGCAAATTTCAAATCTACCCGTGACATGTGTTGCATCGCTCTCTTTTTTACATTGTTACATGATTTGCGTCACACACGTTTATAAGCAGAAATCGCATTTATTTGGATGCTGCAGATGTTGCAGGGTTGCAGGAAACAAAGTGAATATGTTGCTCTTTCTGGCCAGTAACTTAAGTAGCAGCAAAAGGAAACTGCGCAGAATGTTGATGCCGCTCTATATACTGGCTCTTAACAGAATTCTAATAAACTAATTTTAAGCGAAGCTATTTTATCAGGTCTTGGTAATCCACATAGTAAGTTCTATGCTTAGTTTTGCTTGTGAAATCTAATTACTTCAGCTAGGTCTGATAAAATACTGTAACAACTTAGCAAAGCAATATTGTGCATGTTTACTTGGAAACAGATCCCAGTGTGTTAATGGCTCTCATTCCTATGTAGGTGAGCATAGGGACTGAAGCCTAGTTATCATAGTTCAGCATCCTGCAGAACTTAATTTTACAGTTGTCCTCAGTTCTGGTGTTTTTAAAGTGTCCCTATTTAATTTTAGGTAAAGCTAAGTCTCTTCAAGCTTTTTTCCCCCACTTGCCTATTTAAAAGTCAACCCCCTATTTTAAGGCTCAGGGGTAAATAGAAACTATACTACAGTTTGCTTGTTAGCTTTTAAAGACATAATTGCTCTAACTGTAATCACATTCTGCTAAATGTAACTTAAAGATTACAAGTGCATGAGAAGAGCAATTGAATTTTTGAATACAGGAGGTACCAATTTTAAAATAATTTTAATAATGGTGTATTTGTTGGGCCAATTTGAAACACTATGGGATTTTCACAGACACATCTATGTTTCTAAGAACAGGGCTTTGCTATGCTTCCTGAGACAGTCCTGGGCTATTTTCAGAAACTGTTACGGAGAACACTTGGCACTACTGGGTTTCCGTTCCACTCCTCTCTCAAGCAATACTGTCGTGTAAATTTTAGATTGTTATATGTAAAGCATGTACCAGCCAAACAAATGCATATGTGAACAGATGTTGAAAATAAATACAGTGAAACATGAGCTTGTTCGAAGGCTTTGAATAGTGTTGAGTGCTCCAGAATGCATATGTGATTTGGACCGACTTGAATCAAATGTGTCTTCCATTAAAATACCTAGCAAATTTACAGTGTCTAATGAATAAAGTGTGCTCTTGTATCTGTTTATTGGCTGAAGTGAGAATGGCCATCTCAGAAGGAACCAAAATAACCTGCAATGTTAGTTTAATAAAAGAACTTGTTCACTTTTCTGTTTTACTTGAGCTAAGCTCTGTTGGTTGCTTTGCTGTGGCACATGGGCTTATTTTATTGCTTCCTAAATGATATGCACCCAGAATTGTTTGGCATGCAATAGGTGGACTGATATTTGAGCTTAGTGTGTTGTGCATGTTTAGAGGAGTAACAAAGAGGTCCTTTTTAAAAAAAACAAATCTCACTATGAAGCAGAATGGCAATTTACAGCATATACCAGTATTTTCCATAGCAGCTGAAAATGTGTTTGTAGTTCCCACACAAAAAAAGTACAGTTTGAAATTATTTATTCGTCTCTTCCCCCTTCCCCTGGAGCTTGTATTTTCTGATGCTGTAGCTATTCAGTGTGTTTTGACACAGGGAATGTTCTTTGACAGATGACAGAGCTTAGAAGGGATTATAAGGTGTATAACATCAGTTCTGCAAGGGACTGAGTTGTGGGGTTTTTTAATAGATAGGAAAATATTTATACCATTTCATCTATACGGGAGAACTTAAATCAGGTTCATTTGCTAATTTGGAATTGTCAAATACAATGTGCTTCTTAAGTTACAAGGCATCAGAATCTGTGGATCTTATTATATGCTCACTTATGCCGGTGATGTGATGGGCACTGGATGCTATGATCACAGTGCTATAAAGTTGAAAAGTATATCTGAGGCCAACTAGAATCCAGCCTAGCTATGGTAACATTTGGAGCATGCAATTCATTTGAGCAACTTGTCCTGTTTGCCAAATAATTATTTACATTTAGTAGACATTATCTGGATCTTCAGATTAAATCTTTGCCACAATCTGAACCCACCAGCTCCTTAGCTGATGCAGTAGCTCACGTGACATCCTATAGTCAACAAAGTCGATGTGTCCTTTGCCACACCTGGTGTACATTGCCCACTCCATGCAATGCAAAGGCACAGAGCTCTCTAATGATGGGGTCCCCCGGCTGCACCATCGCCAGCTATGCTTCTGCCCTGCTTTCTCTGCCTTTTGTGTATTCTGCTGCAGAATAGTCTCAGAAAGCAGAGGACTGATGGAAATGGTGGCTCCTGTTATATTAGAAGCCCTGGCCAAAAACAAGGCAAAACTTGTTATTGAGTTATGGCTTACTCCCCAGGCTTGTTCCTCTGTAACCAGAGCACTGCCAATGACTTGCATTCCAAGCCTTTGATCATATGCTTTCCAGCATATGGGTGGTAATTGAACCCACCTGATTACTAAGTGGATCTCTAAATTAGAGGTGCCTAATAGATATAAGATATAATAGATACTGCATATAGAAGTCATGTTTACACACAGCGATTGTGCCCACATCTTTATTCCACTTAGAGGTTTCTAGTAATCTTTCAGCCTTTCATATCAAAGGAGCACTGCCTTTAGATTCTGCCGTGCATCATATGCTCCTCGACTGTTCTAGTACTTAGAAATACCGGTAAAACCCTTGTGGCACTAGACTTCTAATAAGGCTTCATTATAAACTCGCAATATGAAACTTCTCAGTTAATTTTTTTCAATCTCCAGCTCAGAATTTGATTCCCCACCCTCAATCTGGTTGCTAGTGAACGGGATAAGCTTTTGGCTTGACCGCTGCTAGATGTTTATGCATATTGTTTTAATTTCCTCTGGAGTCACGGCATTTAAGGAGCTCAGCCAAAGCAATGGGATCAAAATTTAACTGTCTTTTTGTCTTTCTTCAGCATCTGAATGGGTCGCAAGCAACAACAGCAGCTCTGTACATGTGATGAAGGAAAATAAGATCTGGTAAGAGAACATTCTCAGTTCCAAGCTTCTGAGTTACTTTTTATATACTACAGAAGAAAGACTGAACTCGTTTTTGCTGTTGCAAAGGAGCCCTTGACAGTGTCCTTATCAGCAATGAGGATTACGACATGCTTAACTGAAATAATTATTACTTGATTGACACAAGATTCCTAGCACCACCATTGACCTGTTGTGTGACCTGCTGTGGAGTGGATGATAAACTTTATACACGTCTTTATGGATGCATTTGTAACAATACATCTCTGAGCTTTTGCACAAAATAAAAAGAACTATGCTTTCAGGATTTTTCATTCAAAAGTTTCAGTTGCACTGTACCTGCCATTAAATAAGACTAGTCAGTAGAGAAGAATACAAGTGGAGACTTGTGAGTCACACTACTTGAAGGGGAAGGCTTCAATTGGCTCACTGATGGGATACTTCAGGAAGGCTTCCACCACTCCTCTTGGCTCCGTGATTGTTGCCACTATCATATGCAGCCTTATCACCAAGCAACCATGCAAAGGCAGGGCTGGGACTTTTCCAGAAGTGCCTAGATAATGCACTTTTGAAAGGAGGTTTTATTTTAATAAGAATTTGCCCATATGAGATAACTGAAGCAGCCCTTGAAAGTTGGGGTGTTGTTCTTCATCAGTTGGTTTATAGCAGGCCATTTTTAATGTTCATGTGCAAACTGCTCCTCCTGCACATGTCATCTAAATAGGACCTTGTCTGAGGAGAGCATCAACAAGACATCTTCCATCAATATCTATCGGTTCTGGGTAGGTCAGTTGGGTAAAAGTGAGGTGCTCTGAATGCCACGGTCGTATGTTTGATCCCTTTATGAGACAATGGCATATTCCTGTATTGCAGGGGGTTGGACTAGGTGATCCACAGGGTCCCTTTCAACTCTACAATTCCATGAGTCCACCTCTGTTCTTTGGCCTTTTGATGCCCATGGTACATATTTTTAGGGCCTACCCTATTTTGATTTGTAAATTGTTTCAACATATTTTAAAATTGTATTTTTAAATTGAAGTCACATGCCCTGAGACTTTATGGTAAAGAACAGATAAGACATCATCATCATCCCTGACTGTTGGTCATGCTGGCCATGGCTGAGAGGAGCTGGGAGTACCATAGGTTAGTCACTCCTGCAGTGGAGCATTTAATTTAGAGTATTCATGAAGTCTCCTACATATATTAATGAGCCAGGCATATGCCCAAAGTAATTATAAAGTTAAGTCCTGTGCAGCCTAATATTGGTGACTACTGTTCAGTGTGGCTTATTCTCAGGTAAGTATGTGTAGGGCTTCTGCCTGCCTTAATATGAATGTTTAAGGGCACTGAACTGCAAACTTTATTGTCCTTATTTTTCTTCTGTTTATGTTGTGACTGGCACATAATTCTGCCCATCCAAGCTTTCTCTAGTTCCATTGGACCTGGACATATATTGCTTGAAAAACAGGCAAAATATGAATAGAGGATAAATCTGCCTACCTCCAAATTTCACTCACCAGGGGGCAACAGGAAATGACGATTGCACTCATGTCCTGCTTGCGGTCTTCCCATAGGCATGGTAACCCTGGTGACTAGTTGCTGGGAAACAGAAAATTGGCCTAAATAGGCCTTTCATCAGCTCTTGCAGGTCTCTTCTGTTTTCAGATGTATCAGTCAAGTCCTATAACTTTCTAACCTAAAGTGTATACTTCAGAAATAGTGTATTTTTAAATTTTAAAAAATGCAATTGAGAAGTTGGTTAAAGATTGAACAAACAAGAAAGGCCAGTTGAAATGGGAGTTGCATTAACATAGTTTTACACAGCTCATGTTCGTTTCAGTGGAGCTTGTGCCCAAAGCCCTCTTCACGTTTTGCAGAAATTGGATTGATTGGATTTTTGATTAGCATGCTTGTGAAATGGTGTGTCTTTTTAAACATTTGTACCCCTTTAAAAACTATGCATGATAATGTACACTGAGTTGCTACAACTACCAAGTGACACTGATAATGCCAATATAGTCCTAAAAGAGTTTCTAAGTGTTTGCATAATGTTCATTGAGAAACTCTTGTACATGCAAAGTGCAGTAATAATATTAAGACGTGGACCTGTTAAATGTGTGAGAGGATGGTTATGGAAGAAAGTAGAAATGCTATATTTACAATCACTTTCCTGAATGGGCCACTTCATCATGGGTTACATTGGATTGTAGTTTTGAATTAAATGTATTTTTAGTGATAGAAATAAAATATTTGTTGCCTGTTGCATGTTGTTGCTTTTACAGATAGATTGCTGGAGTTATTTTTAGAAGTAAATTTTGCAAGTGGCTGAATGGTTGCAGCCTAATTGTGTGTTTTTTTTCTGACTGTGACTTGGTTGTCTTTTATTTTTACACTTCTTTACCTTTTATGAAGAAGTGCAGTAGAGTCCAAACCTCACAGTACAATCGACTACGTGTCTATTCAAAACAAAGACCTACCAAGTTCAGTGGGACTCCCTCTCAGGAAACTGAGAATGGAACTGTGGCCTAGGTGGTTTTTGTTTAATATCTCTGCTGCAAACATGCTGCCTCAAGTGACGTATGATCCTTTTTTCTGTCAGGCCCTAAACCCTCTTAAGGTGTTGAGCATGAAAATGCGAGGGCAGGTAGCTGCTCCACTTTACAAACCATGATCAGGAACCCTGGTATTGCAGGCTTCCTGATCACACAGAGGCTTCCAACTGTGTTCAGCCAAACACTCTTAGAACTTAGAAGATCCCATCACACCTTCATGCTAAACGCAGGAGGGCAGGGAGGAATGTTGGAGCAGGGCTGACACATCTGTCATAGCCCCTTACACACTTCCCCCTTCACATGTTAAGGATAACTGCCTGAAGAGGATGATGGACTTCTCTCATAACCCGGCATCCTGTTCACTCTATGTCCTGTTTGGGTGTTCGATGTAGACAAACATGTAAACGAGCACATGAGAAGTGGGGGCACAGGGCATGTCTTTAGAGCTGTTGCTTTAGAGCCTTCCAAGAATTTGAGGGTGAAGGTCTGGAGTTGGAGGTCTCTTGTATGTACTTAGGAAAGCTCTCCTCTATGTAATCAAGGTGTCAAATTGTGTGGGGAGCCTCAGCAAGGAAAGGAGGCTCCCTGTTTTCAAGGATCTCAAGGCAGCAAACATGCTTCTCCCCCATCTCCTGCGTTCTACAACAACCTGAGGTTCATGTATTAGTGGGGCCTTGAACCTGGGCCTCTTCAGCCCCCCCATCTTGACACTGTAAACACCACACTAGATGCTAATTGGGATGACCGACTGCAATCTTGAAAGATACAGAGCGGGATCTTTACAGACAGTGCAGCTTTTCCTTATCTTCCACAAAGGTAGCCACCCCACGCCAGATTCAAAGTTGTTGGTTTAAAAGAAAAATCCGTAAATTGTGTGGGGAGGTTACTGACAGTGTGCTTACATGCTTGTGTTCATTCGTAAAGGGGCTCATTAGATGGGGTCCATTATGTAAAAGCAAATCCCATTTAACACAATATTTAATACCAGAATGCTAAATTTACAGTTGCCCGAAATTCAGGTTCCCTTGTTTAGCTGCATGTAATTAGCCTCCTAATTTATCTGAACTTGTAATCCCCTGAGGACTGGCGTGTGCATTATATTTTTATGGCATTAACCCCAGGGATAATTGCTACTGGTCCCTGTAGATTCTTGCTTAATTCTATTGAATATTCTCTACTCATTGCACACAGGTAAGTTGTGGGCTATTTGCATTTTAATATACCAATTTCCTTTCCGTAGAACAAAACAAGAAGTAAAACAGAATATGAATGCTGGCCTAAGCATTCTCCTGAAACCTCCAGATCAGTTCACTTTGATTTATTATATTTCTATGCCACTTTTCATTCAAATGAATCCCAAAGTGGTTTACAAACAATAAATAACAACAACGTGATAGAACATAATAGAACTTCACAAATACAGCATAAGGCATATAGAATAAGTAACAAATCATTGGTAAAACAAATACAGTCTATAAAACACTTTTAACAAAGCAACAACTAAAGAAATAAGGGAGTCACAATCAAAGCAGAAGTCACAGTATATGATTAACAAATCAATACAGCTTTTATAATCTCAGTGCTATTTTTCTAGAAAAAGAGGTGCCAGAACTCACCGTGAACGCCTCTCCTGTTCTCTTATAATGGCAATGGTGCCTACCTGAGAGATTCTGGAACAGAGTTCCAGACAGGAAAAAAAAAGCCTTGTATAATCTATAAAGTGAGAGCTGGAACCATAAAGAAGGCTGATTGCCGAAGAATTGATGCTTTTGAATTGTGCTGGAGGAGACTCGAGAGTCCCATGGGCTGCAAGAAGATCAAATGTATCCATTCTGAAGGAAATCAACCCTGAGTGCTCACTGGAAGGACAGATCCTGAAGCTGAGGCTCCAATACTCTGGCCACATCATGAAAAGAGAAGACTCCCTGGAAAAGGCCCTGACGTTGGGAAAGATTGAGGGCACAAGAGGAAGGGGACGACAGAGGACGAGATGGTTGGACGGTGTTATCGAGGCTGCCAGCATGAGTTTGACCAAACTGCGGGAGGCAGTGGAAGACAGAAGGGCCTGGCGTGCTCTGGTCCATGGGGTCACGAAGAGTTGGACACGACTAAACAACTAAACAACAACAAATAATCTATAAAATAATATTAACAACATTAATGAAAGAGCAACCCAAAGATAATTTAAGCACCATTAAGTCCACACATACACAGCCAACTCCGAGGGGCTGTGGAGGCTTCGGCCCCCACAATAAAATATTTGAAGGGGCCAGGCCCCCACAAAGTTGATGGGCATTCCCATTTAAATGGTATGCATGCGCTGTGTCAATCGTGATTGATTACGCAGGGTGGGGCTTACCTGGGCACCCACAATATTTTATTCAAGTTGGCACCCCAGCTCTGCACCCCCATGATTCATAATCTTTGACTCTACTCTAAAATGCACATACACATAATGCCCATGGCAGCAAGTCCCTTCCGAAGGTTCCTCATGCTGGAGGTGGGGCAGCAGAGATGAAACCAACCACACACACACACACACACACACACACACACCCCGATGGCCAACAGTCTCTCTCTCCCCTTGTTCCTCTGGAAGCAGCTCCATTATGAAGGCTCCTAGGGCTGGAGGTTGGAGTAAGGCAGGTGTAAAAGCCATTACCTGCTGGCGAACACAAAATTCTCTCAGCCCTCACTCAGCCCTCTCAGCCCTCACCAGTTTAATCAGAATCCTGTTGTACAGAAAATGCAATCAGAAAAGATCAGAGCCTTTACTTCCCTTTGAATTGGGACACCTGTAGAAAAGTGGCTGCCAGAGGGAATGCAAGTCCGTCTCTTAATGACAGAGTGTCTGCTTTGCATGCAGAAGTTGCCAGGTTCAACTCCAGGTAGAGCTAGAAACATCCCATGTCTTACACCCTAGAAAGTTGTTTCCAGTTAGTTAAGACAATACAGAACTACATGGACCATTGATTCACTAAGACAGCTTCTTATGCTAAGTCATGGACTGCAAATCACTATATGCTGCAATGCCTGTTCTGTGTGTTTGTTTAGACATAAGCCCTATGTGGCCCAGTGTATATTGAACGAGTCCTTCTGGACTTCTGAAGCTTCTAGCCAGATGAAACTGACTACTTATCTTTAAAAAAGACTTCTAAAAACAGTGGCTGCCCTTTCTGAGAACATTCTCCATATTCAGATGCAACAGAAATGTCCATTACAGGATAGGAATTAAGAAGAATCTAAACACTATTGTAGCACAAGGGTTTGTGATATCACCTCACCTTCAGATGATATTGTTCAATGGCAGTTTTCCTCAAGGTCAGCCATCTTTGCTGAGGTTATTCACTGATTTCTTGAGAGACGCTCTGCTGACACTCTGTGCTGGAATGATTGAGGTAACTAAGAATCTGCAGCCTAAGAGAGGAATGCTATTTGACATCTGAAAAGAATTTGAATTAACATTTTAAGTGATATTTTATGCTTCTTTTTATATGTTTGAACCTGTTAAAATTTCCTAAATGCTTCTTTTGTTAGCAGTAAATTGCCCAGAGTTCAGAGTTCTGGCCAAATCATAAAGCTGTTCCTAGACATTTGCAACACAGTACAATAATTATCAAGAAGGGTGCATTGAATAAAGCTGCAGATTTTACATTGTCTTCAAGTCAGGCACTTTTGATTTCCTACAATTAATATTTTCAAGCGTTCAGAATGCCAAAAAATATTTAAGGGATGTCGTTCTAGCTTAGATCTCTGGAGTGCAAAACCTTGTTAACCCAAGACTTGGGGGGGGGGGGGAGACACACCTGGAAAATCTGCAGAGCAGAAGATAGTGTCTCTATATACATAATACAATAGATTATCTTTTCCAAGCGTTATTAAGCTTACGAATTATTTGAATTCACTGTGTGTTCTTCTTGTGGTCACAGCCCCGAATAAACAGCCTTTCTATTTATCCAGCCTCTAATAACTGAAATAGTTTATATGTGCCTCTGAGCAATTCAGATAAATGAGTTTGAACCTTACTTAAAACTTATCCCAAGATCAATTTTGGTTACTAAACTTCGTGCTCTGCATAAAGACAGAATGTATCATTCAACAGCAGGAAGCATATGATATCTTAAAGAGGCAGATTTTAACTCCTTCTGATAATATTATTGAGAAAAACAGATTTTTTTTAAAACAAAGATTAAAATCATATTTGTTATTAATGAACTAATCAATTTATATATCACTTAATGCTAAAGTAGGCTTCTAAGGTGTTTCCAAGTATAAAAAGCAATTACATAGACATTAAAAAGAAGGATTCATAATTAAAATATACACAAATAACAAACCCTTTAAACGTAATCTTTGGAATATAAAAGGTGGTATAGAAATGTAACAAATAAAAACAATAATGACAACAACATCCTTAATTAAAATATGAAATAAAGCATTCATATTAAAACAACAGAGCACTTAAAACAGGAAACTCCAGTGACAAGATGAAGGGGAAGCCTGTGTAAACAGGTACATCTTCAAAAGCTGGCAGGATGCCACTACTGATGAGCACCTTCTATTTCAGCAGGGAGCCTGTCCCACCAATGAAAGGTTTCACCTCCATGTCACAAGCTGATTATCACTAGGCCATGGCAAGACCAATGTCTTTGCATTGCTTAGGCTGCAAGCCTGCATACAGCATTTGGCTGGCTGAAGGACCGTAGGAAGTGACGTTAGTGATGTTCCATCAGCAGAGAGGGAGGCCTGCTAACAAGACACCACTCACACCACAAAATGGCCCCCAAGCATAACACCAAAAAGCT